TGCCAACTTCTGCTGATACGCCATTCGATCCTCGCGAACAAGCTGAGTGTAGTGGTTACGTTGGGTCGCATAGGCTATCTAAGTCACGGTTCTCGGAGAGTTTGCATAGATGCCAAATTGAGTTTCGCACTGATATACACTTGCGTGACCAGTTTCACAGAAAGGAGACCACGTTTCTCGGGCGGAAGATGTTAGTCGCTGATACTTCGGTAACCAGAGGTTTAAACTGGCTAACAAAATATTCCTATACACTAGCTGGTACCTTTTCTACCAGAAAAGTCCAGTGGGCTTTCTCACCTAGTGGGGCTAAGATGCAGCGTTTACTCGCTTTGTTTCACCGGCAATTCCCACAGGATATTCTGCATAGCAAACATATTCGAAGCATAGCACCGCATGATCGCCATGGCTCAATGGGAAGTCGACGAGTACCCTCTCATTGGTGAATATCCAATCCAGTATTGCCGGCTTATCTTTTGCTCGGAATCAGATGGGAGTGTTGATGTTGCCATGCAGCGGGTACCTGGAGATAAAGGCTTGTAAATCCTTCTTAAACTGTTCGCCCGGAGCCGCTTGGGGTTCCAGAGTGTGGATTCTGAAAGCGCCAGTAATGAGAACGTGACTGCAATTTGTTTTTCTCACCCTCTTTAGTGCAGATGCAAGATGAAAGTCCATCTTGGGCGTGGATGAAGGAGGGCGGTAAATGATTGGCACCAAGTAGATTCCGTCGCCATTTAAACATAGACGGTACCAAAGGGAATCCTGTACCATGCTGACCGAATCCTCAATGAGGCTCCCATTGGAGGTCACTGCGGAAGTATAAAGCCACCCCTCCACGTTTGCTCGGTCGGTCGTGCCAAACAATGAGCATACCCGGCAGCGCTATCTCGATGTCACTTATGTCAGAGAGTAACCACGTCTTGGTTATAGCGATGAGGTCACAGGCTTTTGATCCTTGATGCAACCGCATTTCGGAAGTTTACTCCGTACGCCTTGAGCGTTGGTGTATATACAGGGAAGCTTCTCAGATGTCAAAAGCTGTTGTCTAGGAGCACATGAATGATATGGGTTGGTGCCAACCGATAAGAGGCCGGCATCTAATGGTTTTTTGGAGGAATTGCCAAATCTCAACGTGCTTTTGGTCTTACTCGCACCTGCCGTATGTAATCTATCGGTAGATTTTTCCATAGCAACGGGACTTGGCGCAGTTTTCTGAAGCACCGTTGTGGTTATGTTGAGTCGCACGTGGTGTCGTTTCTGCGGGAACATCGAGTGACCGCGGCTCTGGAGCTGCCGTCTTCAGTCGTAGTTCTGAAGGAAGTGTGCTACGTAATATCTGCCAGCGGCGGTTTTAACCACCGTTGCCATCTGTTGCGATTGCACCATTAATTTCCACATCCTCGGGCCTCTAACTCTGTAGTTTGAGGACATGAGTGACCGTATAATCGACTGAAGTATGACGTCGTCCACACAGAGAGCTTCACAGTTGTCACGAGAGTCTGCCAGGTCATGAGCCTGGGCTTCTTTGTTGCTAGATGTCAGTATCCCGGGCCCGCCATGGAAGAAAATAACACGTTTGCTACTCTCCGTATGGTGGTCAATTGAATTATTTTTGTCCCACTGACGTTCGCTCCACGGAACATCCGGAAATATGCGTATCCCACCGTTTTTAGTCCGCAGGCGGTATGCGGACAAAAGCACTATCACAACGTCATCTGTTAATCCCAATGTTTCTAGTATTAGTCGGGACTCCTGGTAATGAATCGAGGTTGGATTTCTAGTGTTTCGCATTAAATTAGCCAGACTGGCTTGAACTCCGATTCTATCGCGAAGGAAATTCCATTGCTTTAAATCACCCTGCCATTTACCCCTTAAGAAGTTTGCTTTAGTCTCAAGAACACTGGTGTATATAAGTGTCCAGGCACCGTAGTTCCGCTTTATCTTCCGTGATGTGGGAAGCATGGTTATCGAGGGCTTTGCTTATGTCAGTGCGCATTGCACCTGGTCCTTGACCAGTTTTGCGGTTGTACTGGGTGAGGTCGCAGTTTGATTATATCGAGCAGCAACAATTGCATAGGTGGATTGTTCTTTAGAGCGCTTCGGATTTCGTTGGTCAGTCGGAAGGGTGGGTGTTACCGATGTTGTCTCAGTTGATACATTGCATAAGAGGATGTGGGTGGTGGGGTCAGACATGCTACTATCGGTCGAGACGACGGCTTGGTTCATGGTTCCCAAGGTTTCTGGTACTGCGTAGTGGTGTGGACTCCTGTCCCTTTTCCTTTGGTTTCGAGACAGTAATTGAGGGAGACGGATGAGGTCCGGGATGCGCTATTGTCGCCACGAGAGAAGCAATTTTTGCATCTAAACAATGTTCAGTTTAGGCGATTAGACTGTCGTACTTTTGCGTTAACGCTAGTACGCATTTTACTAGAATAACCATCGTACACTTCAGACAGAACCAAGGTGAAGCAGGTGGATTATATTTATTTCTGTCGGTTCTACAAACCTTCACATACTTCCTATGGTACTAGTCAATGTACTTTACGCAAGGTAACGCTACTTTTACTACCTTAACACAAGTTTCATTGGCACAATATACTTCGTTTCGGGTTACCATGGTTGTGGCGGTGACGGCCGAATAACTGCTGCTTCTTTGGCGCTTAACTGTCGCGCCGCCGTCCGTTAGCTTTTGATCGCCGATCGTGAGGTCAAGGTCAAGTGACTTAGTCATCGTGCTTTGTGTGCTCCGTCCGTGAGTCATACGATTGTGGGTAAGGCTTCTGGTGTAGACACTTATCGTACTGTGCAGGTTGGTTGGTAGCACAGGATGAAATCAGAAGCGGCGAAAGATGAAGGTTGCTTCAGTGAGAGGGTTTTACGGTGGGAAGGTGGTTTTCTCTGTAGCAGTGACACACGGTAAGAGAATGAGACGAATGAAAGCTTGAGCGTACGCTGGGAGCCTTCTCTATCGAAGGAGGTCAAAATCCTGGGTGTGTGATTATAACTGCACGAAATAGCCCGATTGAATAAGGGCGAAAACTTGCGCAAATTTTTAAATCCGGTGGAAACAAGCCAAGCTGTAAATATTCCAGAGAAAATGCATTTCCTAGTTGGAGTTCGTCAAACCAAGAGGAAAAAGTGTACATCCGACTACGTGCGACTAAATGTCATACAGAAAAGGCGAAAATACCTGGAGCACCATATGGAGCTGTCACCATAAGGAGCTGTCACCATAATTGTCGTCCCTGATGCTCTAGTCGGCGTTGCTTAATGCTGCACCTGAAGTTCCTGTCTTCGGCGGATCGGGCAACTAAAGTGAATCAAAGTGGATACACTAGTTCCTCATCGTAATACACTGCTACCACGGCCATGAGGTCGCTACAGTCTTCCGACTCCAAGACCGGACGATGTTAAGTGCGCGATGCAGTGGCGCAGAAACCGGACTTGCAAGTTTAACCATTCGTCTCGGAGTATTCTCTCCAATAGGGGTTTCCACGCCCTTACAGTATTACAGTCTGCTTTTGGCCACGCTGCTTATGACAACGAGGCATGAATAGTTAGTAACGCCCCATTGGCAAATTCACGCCCACTTTCACGGTGCTGTTTCGCGACGCAGCCAGATTCAATTCGTGCGATTGAGAGATAAAAGGAGATAGATAGCTCTGCTTCCATCTAGTCCACATTGTGGTTCTTACTCTATACGTTAAAACATCTCAAAGTTCTCTCTAAACTAGTACAGTTCCAACCTTGTTAGCCTATAAGGGGCACCCGCAAAAATGATCTGTTAAATATCTCAATTCTAATCTAATCCATCGAGCGACTTCGTGATGAACCTCCAAAAACAAGTGTTGCTTTCTGGCGGACCGCTTGACATATTAATTATCGGTAACCACAAGCTTAGTCATTAGCTCCCGTTTCTTCCCCTTTGGCCCGACTACTTCCACTTTGTATGGTTACGGATCTAGCAGAATATTTTACCTCCCTTATTTCGGTCCTTTGTATATTTTCTGACGGGCGGAAAATGTTCCCCTTTTTTCAACTATCATTTGTACAGCGGGTTTCCTCCGCATTTTATTGATGAAGTTGCGTTCCGCATTGTTCGGAGCTTCCATGTTTAATGGAATATGTAATAGATAACATTGCTGGAAAGCACGTTTTCACATATATTTTTCTGACTGGATTCATTGAGTGCATTCCTAGATTGCTGAAGGTTAAAAAATTTGACCACATTTGGCATGTAAAGAAGTATTTAAATAATATTTAAATACAAACAGACTCTTGCTGGTCCTTAATTGTAACGATACTTTATTCTACAGATGGACGTACCTCACCAAGAAGAAACTCTAGCGAAGAGTTTGCTCTATTGTAAGAATAGTACACGTTTCCCATGACGAGTGGGATAGATTAAACCAATTCGTAATGCGACAGACATACTGGTTGAGAAGATTCGCGAATACTCCGTACTATAGAGGAGAATGAGATTGCTTTTCAGTCCTCGTGAATGGAAACCCATCCGGCGGACCTAATTCAATGTGCTATTTTCGCTTGATGTACCACCGAGAATTTTTGACCACCGAGCTCGGAGCTCCCGGTTGGGTGCTGTTGAACAGCTTTGCACCTGTCTCCCCTAGCGATAACATTCATGTCACATGTCCAGTGGTTGTTTTAGTACTTGCGAGCCAAAACTTGTCTACCGCCACACTTGAACTGCTCTTGTCACGGGGCTGTATTTCAGCAATCAGGGAGCAGCAGTCGTCTGCTCTGTGAACCTTTTAAGCCAAGGCTGAGACGGGTTTTGCTGATTTCATACCTTGTTCTCCTGCTATTCAGTTTGGCTGTGCGTTAAACCTGTGATTTATAAGGGAACTTCAGCGCTCGCAAGTGAAAACGTGTGTCGTCCACACCCTTACGTTTTGGTACAAGAAATGGAGTAGGTTATTCCACCTAAACAACTCGGTCAAGCAATCTTCATCAACAAGAACGAAACACTGCTCACAGCTTACCATGAATTCATCTTCCAGCCGTTCCAGCTGCGCATTAGAGTAGGCCTGTCTAGGCTTACGTTCGGCTGCGGAGCTACTTTCGACAGCATGTTGGGCTACAGAACACGGATGGTAATTTGTGTGGAATACTGAACCATGATGCGGCTTCAGTGTGACCACTTCGTTGTTGTTGAATTTCTCCATGGCCAGCTGCCCTGAAATACTTAGTCGGTGGGGTGATGAATTCCACCTGCGTCGCATGCGTCTCAGCTTCTGAGAGTGACTCCGGCTCGAGTTTCCTGTCCGGTGCAGATGAGCACTGATAGCGCCAGCCAGACACGTGTGCGTGGGAACACCAGTTGGTTGCCTTGAAGTGGATATCGAGGGGACACATCGGAGTGCGTTCCCACCAGTTTGGGTTTTGTAATGGACTGCACCTGAATGTTTGGGGTAAATCACATTCGTGTATAGATATTGACGCTATGGTACAAAAGTCTACAAGTTTAAAGTTAGTGGTTAGGCGGGGCCGAATTATTTTTCACAAGTACCCTTCTTTCGTGTACACACTTTGCATTGATCGCGTTAGGCTTCTATCTGACAACGACCAACTAGTTGATCATTCCATCTAATTCAGTGCTTACTGATTTGCACTGCCTCATACTAGGGAAGCAGTTAGCCAGACAACTGTAACTCTAAACAGGATAAGCGACAAAAGTTCACATAAACAACCGAGAGAAGTCTCGTGCTGTAGCAAGTCAGATGAGGTATCAGCCGGATTATCATCATTGTTTGACCTGGTGGGTGTTTCGAGTGACTACAGTGGGACAACGAAAAGGTGAATTCATTACAGGTGAAAGACAAACGCTCGATAAGTTTCACCAGAGAAACAAACGAAAACGACAGATAAAGGTGTTGAGAGAGTAACGCATATCGGTAGGTACGCCGTAAAGTTTGCACACGCCCACAATTTGGTTGCGTTATGTCATGGTCCGTTGAAGTGGGTTGAATACTGTGGTAAATGTGGGACAGTATGAAATCAAGCACGTTTTTTCATCTCAGCCAAACTACCAATGAAGGTTTTAGGATTAACACATTCTAAAGTGAAAAAATCTATGGGGATATTCCAATTCACTATACTAAGTGTCTAAGTTTAACTGGTGGCTAACTTCAACTAGTGGCGTTTTGGACTAGTGTTTTGCTTGAGCTCCAATGGGTGGACGGCGACTTTTTTAGTCGGTATTCTTGGATTTGTGCCGCATCATTACAAGCTCCCTCGCGGGCCAAATTAGTAGGGAAATGAAAGAAGACCCCCCCACATTTTTGGACGCTTTTCTTCGTCGGATCTCTCGAACATGGCCAGATAATACATCTCGATTGTGTGCATACTGCTCGGAAGCTCATGAGAAAACAAAATGCATCAAACGACGAAAGGAACTTGGTAGATAAACAGGATGACACTATGAGAATGAAATCCATCGCAATGAGGCTGGACCTTACCGCGGTGCGATGGTTTGTGTGTCTCAGTGATCCATTGAGCTATACTGGGTGGTGCTTTTGCGCCTTCAGAGCCACTCATACCAGATTGGTCAATGGTTAGAGGTCAGACAAACTCAGCCTCCTGGTCCTCCAGGTTGGGGGTTGGAATGAGGACGGCTCCTTATTCCTTAAAACGGATTCTTTGTAGTCCAGTGCCAAACCCGCTGTCTTGCGGACAGGTTTTTGAACCAAAGGCTTTGGTTGAGAACCCTAATCGTTCTCCTGTCTAGGCCTGGGCAACCTGACAGTATCCTGCCCACGCAATACAATGAATCACACTTCAAACCAATTTCTGATGCTCTGGCCACCGCAGAGGATAATCAACGGTGCCCTATCTGCTGCATCGAGCAGCGTGGATAGGGGTTTGGACGCTACTGCTCAGGCCTTCCCATCTTCTTATTCCCCTTCTTGCGCTTTTTCACCCTTTTCGTCCCGTTCCAGCTTCACTTTTATCCCCCCTGTTTTCAACCCCCAATTCTCGGCCCTCCCCCACCTTGCTTCAATAGTCGCTTGTCTTTTAGTTTCAACTCACAGGTGAACGCAGAGCGTCATTCCTGCACTGTCAACAGGCCCATGTCCAAGCAAGCGGCCCATTCCAGTTCATCGGCTTCCATTTGGAGCCCTCGATCCTCCTTCACACTGGCATGCCTCAATGTTCGCACATTGCTTCAGATCGGTCAACAGGCAACACTTGCCCGAACATTAGAGAAGCTCTCGATCCAAATCTGCTGCTTATCAGAGACCCGCCTACAAGACTCGAGTTCTGTACTCACTCTGCGATCCCCTTCAGGTGCCACCAGCAGCACTTTCTCATTGCGCCTATCCGGTGACGATGCAGCTTCGAGCACCGGCCAAGCTGGTGTTGGTATTGCCCTGAGTCCCCGGGCTGAAGCTGCTCTGGTTGATTGGATTCCAATCAGTAGCCGGATGTGTGCGGTCCGATTGGCTGGCTCGTTCAAAACTTCGAAGTCGCGCGGGACTAAGAGGTGTCTGTTCGTTATCGCTGTCTATGCACCGACGAACTGTAGTGATGACTGGGTAAAATAACGACTTCCATCGTCAACTGAACGAGATACTTAGCCACAGAAGAAGCTCAGACACTGTAGTGCTGGCTGGGGATCTGAACGCTCAAGTTGGAAAGTTATCCACAGATGAACTGCATCAGGGCGACCAACATGGTATAGGCTCCCTTAATGACAACCGTGAGCGGTTACTTCATTTGTGTGAAGATGCTCCCTTATTTCTTGCGAGCACTAATTTCCGACACAGCACCCGCCGGATTGTGACTTGGCGCCCACCAGCCTCGAACCAGCTATGGACGCAAATCCATCATATGGCAATCAGTTACCGATGCAGAATCTGCAACCAGAAACGTCGTTCGATTTGGAGCACAGGTGTGGACACCGACCATGCACTTGTATGTGCTGACCTGCGGATGCGCTTTGGCGGACGCCCCACGACGACGTTGTGAGCGCATTGACACCAGCTTTTCTTAATGCCTATCAAAGTATGCTGTCAGGCGAATTGAATAAGCGCTCACTTGATGCAATTAAAGATCACTGGTCTGATATTCACCAGACCTTACTAGCAGCAGGCAAATCCTCATGTGGTTTGTCTAATCCCCAAAATGGACATTTGGTCTCTTCACAGTCTCTGGAACTTATCGATGCTCGCCGAACACAATGAAACTCACAAAGTGCAACGGTCAAAACTCCATGCTAGCTTGAAGAGAGACCGCGAATCCTGGTGGTCTCATCGTGCATCAGAGATGAAAATGGCCACTGCCCTTGGTAACCATCATAAGTTACTCCGGCTGATATGTGGAAACTGGCAGCAGAAAACCTGGTGTTAGTGAACCAATTTGTGACGAGAGTGGACAGCCCATCCACAATTTTTCAAAACGCTTGGAGTGTTGGGCTGAGCATTTTTAAAGGCAATTTAATCGTCAGGAATTGTTAGATTTCTCGCCGGCCACTGATCGCCTGGCTCTCTGGGTTGTCATCTTGGATCCACCCTCTCGCTCAGAGGTCGAACATGAGATCACACTGTTGAAGTTGAACAAAGCCGCGGGACCAGATGATCTTCCTCCAGCCCTCTTCAAATTCGGGGGGCCCTACTCTTGTGGATGATTTCCACGAGTTTCTAGTAAAACTGTGGGAGCAAGAAACTGTCCCAACCGACTGGAGCCGCTCCATCATAGTCCCAATTTTCAAGGGAGGCTCATGATCGGAATGCGGCAGCCATAGAGGAATCAGTCTGATCTCCATCGCCTCCAAATTGCTTGCCTCTGTCATTCTTTACAGACTGAATGGCACTCGTGAAAGCCAGATACGTGAAAGGCAAGCCGGGTTTCGTCGAGGTCGTGGCAGCATCGACCACATCTTCACCTTACGTCAGTTGTTGGAGCACCGTCACATATATTGGCGACCCACCCTAGTCGTGTTTCTCGACAGCAAAGTTGCCTTATATTCGGTTGATCGATGTGCACTTTGGAATTGTTTACTCAGGAAAAGTGTGCCTGAGAAATATGTAAATATTATCCAAGCGTTATATACGCGTAGCACGGGCAAAGTGAGGGCTTACGGCAACCTGTCGCCACCCTTCAATATCTCCAGCGGTGTGAGACATGGATGCCCGCTGTCACCTTTCCTCTTCAATGTCGCTATTGTCGAAGCCATGGAGTTTATATTTACAGGACATGAATTGGAATGTGTAGAGCTACTCCCAGGAGAACGACTTCTTGACTTGGAGTATGCTGATGATATTGCCCTCATCTGTGACAGCTCACAAGTGTCAAGCGGCACTGGACAGATTAGCACTGGCTGTCCGTCACTTCGGGCTTTGCTCCGCACCCACGAAGTGCAAAGCGTTCCTCCAAGATTGGTCTGGACCGCCTCCTACGCTGACCGTTGGTGGGGATCAGCTAGAAGTCGTTCAAAAATTCAACTACCTGGGAAGTTGTATCAGCGCCCTTGGGATCGAAGACGAGATCACGAACCGGATAGCGAAAGCTCGGAGTGCTTTTGCTAACTTCGCCACTTATGGCGCCGGCGCGACATCACTCTTTCTCTGTAGGGTAGAGTGTACAATGCAGCAGTACGTTCGACCCTATTGTACGGTTGTGAAACCTGGCCGCTTAAAGCAGCGGACCTGAAGAATCTAGTTACGTTCGACCACCGGTGCCTTCGTAATTTAGCTCACATCTGGTGGGAACACCGCGTGAGCAACGAGCGGGAACCCTGTCATTGGATAGTTCGGAAATTTACCTCCTCAGCGATGGCTTAAGGTTCGAGTTCAGTGCTTATTTTCCGATTCTATTGACGTGAACTGAAGTGTTCCAAAAGGGTCCAGGTTTGGGCCGCGCTTATTCCTTGCTCATCATTAACGACCTGGCAAGTGTCATCGGGTAAAATTTCCTGCTTCTTGCTGATGACATCAGGATCGAGTCTTAGACCGTGCTTCCGAATGCTCAAATGCAAACCAACTTCCGTTCAATACAAGCAAGTGCGAAATTTTGGTGGCACATCATTAGTCCACGTACGCATATAAGCTTGGAGGCCACATGTTGAAAACTGTCTCACAGAAGCGCAACCGCGGTATGGTGATGCAAGACGACTTTGGCTGTTCGGGCACACTCCTTGAAGGCGTCTAAAATCGCGAACCATCAAGTTGGACTCTTGCGGAAAGCGTTCGAACTGTTTAGACCTAACATGTTTCCGTAGCTGCTCAAGGCATATGTGAGGCTTCGTGTATAGTACATGGTTGAGGCCTTTCAACGCTGGTTATACAGGGCTTCATTTGCACTGAACACCGTACAACGAAGGGCAAACAAAATGCGAAGGATTGTTCCATCTGCCGTGCCATCTGCGATTGTGCAGTGGAAGTTGTC